GGCTATTTTCTTCTTAATCATTTTCTTATGAATGACTATTAAGAAAATCATTGCTGTAGCTCCTGCAGATGGCTGAACTGTAAAATGAAATGAAGATTTGATATTCCGAAAGGTTAAAAGCTCGAAACCAAATAGTAAAACAAAATATATAATGACAAAGTTCATGCATTGATTCCAGGATGTGAAGTGATGCAGATATGGATATATAGTCTACATATAAATATAACGTGTGTATGCACAGGGTACTGGTAAAGTGCTCAGGATTTTGGGTAGATGTGGAAAGAGATGGAAATACATGGAAAGATGGCAATATCTTCAAAGGGTTAACATAATCCAGTATATGGCAACATTTCCGTCAGAGACTTTTAATGCATCCCTCTGATGTCTTTGCATATTGTCTGCATGCACAAGCAAAATAAACATGCACACACAAACATGCATATATATAATCACACACACACACACACAAACAAGCACACACATACACTTCCACAAATATATATACATATATATGTATGTATAAATATATGTGTATATATTTATAGGCATCTATATATATACACACACATATATATAGCATAATATATATATGTGTATGTATGTACGATGTACACACAAAACACATACTGTTCACACACACACACACACACACACACACACACACACACACACACACACACACACACACACACACACACATGCACACACTGTATGTGTGTGCATGTATGTATATATGTAATATATAAATAAATATGTATATTTATATATATACATATATCTGTATGTATATATATATATATATATATATATATATATATATATATATATATATATATGTATATATATATATATATATATATATATATATATATATATATATATATATACATATATACATATATGTTTATTATATGTACATAAATACATAGACATGTATATATGTATACACACACACACACACACACACACACACACACACACACACACACACACACACACACACACACACACACATATATATATATATATATATATATATATATATATTATATAAACAATATATACATATACATATATATGCATTATACATACATATATATACCTACATATCATCATCATCAGCCTGAATCGATCCAATACAGGACGTAGGCCTCTCCTAATCTTTATCAAATTTGTCTGTCATGTGTTTTTTGTTGGCTCCCAAATTTCGTTAGTTCGTCTTGTCAATGATCTGGCCCATGGCCTCTTTGTGTTATTTATAGCCCAGCCTGTTACTTTCATTGTCCATCTGCCATCCTGTCTCCGACATATATGACCTTTCTGATGTTCACAAATATATGTTTCACTTTTGTCTGTTCCCGGATCCACTAATTCTCAGCATCAACCTCTCCATCCCTCCCTGGGCACTTATTAGTTTCCTCTCCACTAATTTGGTTGTAGTCCATGTTTCTGATGCAGAGGTTGCAATATTTTACTCTTTACTCCCTGTCTTCGAGTAGCTTCTAGTACTGCTGGTATTTGTACAGAGTCAAATGCCATTTTGTAGTCGATGAATGCCATACACAGGGGTTTCGTACATTCACTTATTTTTTCTCTTATTTGGGTGAGCGTCTGGATGTGGAGTCCAGTGCGGTAGCCTGCCTGTTCTTTAGGCTGCTTAGAATCCAGACTGTCAGAGATGCGAGTTATGGTGACTTTTGTGAACAGTTTGTAAGTAACTGAAAGGAGGCTTGTGGGTTGGTATTTTTTTTTTAGATCCTTTCTATCCCCTTTATTGTGTATCAAAATAATTGTTGCATTTTCCAGTCTTTCGGAATTTTTCCGTTGAGAATTTGTTAAAAAGATTGGCTAGTTTCACTGCTGCATATTCTCCTGCATCTATTATAAGGTCTATACTAATTCTGTCTTCACTTGGTGTTTCCCCTCTCTTCATGCCTTTAAGTGCCCTTTTATTTCTTCTGTTGTGATGTTAAGTACGTCTCTATCTATCTATGGCTGTTCATTTGAGTTACATAGATCCGTGTAAAAGTCTTCCACTATTTTTATGATTTCGTTCTTATTATATGTCACTTCTTTGTTTGGTTTCTTTATTGCATACATTGGATTTCTCCCTATTCCGAGTCTCATTTTAGCTGTTTCCATGTTGGGACCTGAGATCACTGTTTCATTTATTATTTGAATATTGCATTTCCGTACATCTTCTCTCTTTTTATTAATAGTCTTTGTTAGTTCAGATAATTCTGTTCTGTCACTGTTTGATGATACTTTCATGACCCTATGATTTTGCTGTTTAGTTTCTACCAAGAGCTTGCTGGAGCTCTGCTTGACGTTCTTGTTGCCTACTTCAAGAGCAGCTTCCTTTATTATGTCATTGAACTGTTTATTGATTTGGTCAGTGTACAGATCTTCGTTGCTGAGAAATGAATATTTGTTTTAAATGTTAATGCTAAATTCTGTCGCTCTGGTTTTCAAGTTAGCTAAATTTGGCTGCGGTTTTTGTATGATTTTTTTCCTTTCCCCTTTGAGGTGTAATTTAATTTGGCCTTTGTCCATTCTATGGTCACTGCCAACATTTATTTTATAAACGTCAACATTAATATATCGCGCCTATTTTGAAATTATGAAGTCAATTTCGTTTTAGATTTCCGATGGCGACTTCCATGCCCACTTCCACTCTAGTCCGCAAAATCGACTAGTACTTGTCTCTCATTCCTAGTGCTTATTCCGTGATTCCCCACTTCGGTTTCTACTGTCTTTTTAACTATTTTGGCATTAAAACCCATAATTATTGTGAAATGGACTTGAAGAACCTTTAAGTTGCATATAGTGTTTAGTTTTATTGTTTGTGAAGTCACTCTTTCGCTTATATCATAGAATTCCACGATATTCTTTTCTAAAGTTTGTGAACTGAGAAACCTATCCCTATTTCCTGCCTGTTTTGCTGGGGTTTACCTCTTCAATGGATCAAGTGTCCTTCACTTAGTATTTTCTGTTCCTTGCAGGGGCTCCTTCGCCTCCGGGGAATGAGGGCCGTTGCTCTGTTTGTGCAGTCATGGTTTTCGATTGAGAGGTAGACCGCCGAGTTACCCCCTACGTACGGGCTTAGGTGTATCTTGGTGTGAGGGGGAGTATTTTAGCCGGGATGCCACTGATAAGCCCCTCCAGTAGAGTTGGCCCTGTCTAGCATGGACTTTGAGCAGCAACATACGGGCCTGTTCACTACACCCGGGTATACTCCCGTGAGCATGGGCTTGAGTATCAGAAGTGCATATATGCGTGATTATATTTTATACACTGATTTCAATTATGCGTATGTACACCTAGTACAGACTTTGTTGTCCACCCGCAAATGCCCTAAGATACACATGCAGGCATGCACCTTTACATATGTTCCTATGCATATGATATGCATACATACTCCAACATTATACACCACTACACACACGCACATGCATGCACATATACAGACATATGCGCGCATCATATGCACATACATACGTGTATACACACCCACATGTATGTGAATACATACATGCGTACATACCCTGTATACGTATTTATGATTATACATACACATGTATATATAGCCATACATTTGTTTACGCACACGTGTATGCGTACATACGTTTATGAGTAAACATTAGTGTTCACCCCCATATGTATGTATACCCCTGTACGCGCACACATGCATATATACATGTACATATACATACAGATACACATATATGCACACACCTACACATATCCATACATATACATAAACATGCACATGCACGCACAAATATACATGCATATACAAATACACATATGAATATATATACACATTACACACAAATATACGAATCTACGTATATATGCACATGTATAACATTATGTCCATGCACGGGAGCACACACATAAATCCTGTACTCTTGCCATTAATTATACGCATACATATAGCTGTGCATACACAAGCATAGCCATGTCCTGCATACACATTGCCGCAAGCATGCATACGTGCCCGTATATAAGTTTAGACGCGCGTGTGTATTACTTCACTTGCATACACGCACACGTGGATACGTACCCACAAGCACGCATACACCTGCGCACTCATACTTGTGTACAGACGTTTGAACAGTGTCTGCCTGAGCGCACATACGCACTCCATTATAATGTGCATAAATTGTAGGCTTGCAGTAGAGGGGTTGAGGGGAGGAGGCGGGTGATGTGGGAGAGAATTTAGGACGATGGTGGAACGGGTAAGGATGGGGTTTGGAGTTAGAGTAAGCTAGAAAGGTGATTCTGTATCTGGCAGTTTTTCGTAAAGGTGTCGCATTCCTTAGCGGTTGCTTAGCCTACGGGTGTGCGCTCTCGAGGATTATGCTTTGTTAATGCATAGTTTATCTGGATCATCTGTCGAGTGGCTGATTATACTTGTCGCTTTATGGTAACCATGTTTAAACCTCCCTGATACATGTATATATATATATGTATATATATACATAGGCTACATATGTATGTATGTATACACACGCACACACTTACACTTACATATATACATACATATATGTGCATACATATAAATATATATGTATATATATATATACACATACATATATATTATACACACACATATATATGTATATACATCTATATCTATTCATACATACTCTATATATGTATATCTATATGTGCATATATACATATATATACATATTTGTATATTTATATTCACATGTAAATATATGTACAAAATACACACACACACACGCACACACACACACACACACACACACACACACACACACACACACACACACACACACACACACACACACACACACACGCACACACACGCACACGCACACACACACACACACACACGCACACAGTGAAAATATCTACATATCAATTCTAGCCCTACTGCGGTTTTGCGTTTAGCTAATGTTCTACAAGAGGAATTATAATGTAGCATGCCTTTTGTTTATTGAATCAGTGTTTTAGTTTTTGGTTCAGCT